AAAGAAGATCGGACAAATCAAGATGTTAGAAGTGCAAGAAGGGAGTTTTCAGAAGCGAAAATTCAAGTGTGCTTTTGAAACGAACTGCATGCCTCTATAAAAAAATCAGCACTCGACGGGATTTCAGAGATCGAAGAGGCGAGCTCAGAATTCGAATAGGCTATTCAAAAAATCGAAGAGGCAAGCTCAGAAATCGGAGAAGCATCTTGCTTTTCCAGACGCGTCAGCACCCGTCACACGCAAACTCAACTTTGCGGAAATCACGGGCAATTTGTCGAAGCGTCGATCCCAGATATCGAAGAGGCGCCAGTCTTTTTCAGCCTCGTCAACACCTGTCATATGCACACTCAACTTTGCGCAAATCACGGGCAATTTGTCGAAGATTTTCGGTGAAGGAGAAAGCACGTGAAGTATACTGTTCAATCATCCAACGGTTGCCGACACGAATGAAAGAATAGTACCTCTACAGGTGTTAAAGAACTTCCTATAACTGTCCACCTTCACCTTTCATAGCAAGGTAAACATACAGAGCTTTTCTTCATCTCCAAAATGCTTTCCCAACGAAACCTCTCGAGTCATTCAGTGTTCCTTATTCCTTGGGGTACCTCTGCAAGCCAATGACTCCAAAGCAAAAGTATCTCATATCACCAGGGTAGAAAGCAAGAGTATCTCATATCATGCATTCTCCCTATCTTTTCCTTTGTCCTTGTTCTTACCTGCAAAGACAAGGATAAAGAAAGCAATATGCCGAAACCTCCACTCAAACTCGGGTAAGGAACCGACTGCTTGGAACCCTTCCCTGATTGCCTACCTAGCACTGCTCTCGAGTACTCGTCTCCCACTGCTGCTGTACTTCCAAAGAAGTTGTCACATCTACCTGGAGAACAGATAAGGCAAGTGAAAATGATACCTTGCAGCATGTGGAGACAACGTGCAGAAGGAACAAGCAGAGAAGAATGCGGTCTGCACAGTCAACTCAGCAGAATGAGTCTGAGCTGAAGAACTCGAGAAGCTGCCACATCTGCCTGAAGAAACAAGCAGAGAAGAATGCAGCATGCACAGTCAACTCAGCAGAAGGAGTCCGAACTGAGGAACTCGAGCATATGCCACATTCTGCCAGAAGAATAGATAAGGCAAGGGAAATGATACATTGAAGCATGTGGAGACAAGCACAACAAAGCACGTGTCGATTCATCCGCTACTTCTTCAAAATCAAAAGTATCTCATATCATCAGGTTTGCAATCACTCTGGGTGGAGGACTCGTTTTGACCCTCAAATTCTTGGGTCGACTTGCTAGGCGTTGTGGGCTGCATGTGCCGTTTCACCACCCTTGAATCAAGTCCTTAAAGATCAAGTCACCAACTGGAAGAAGAGCCCATCAATCTTGAAGATCATACCGTTGACCAAACTGCTCAGGTGTGAATTAGAAAGATTGAACAAAACAAACAAGTCGTCACCTTCACCTCGTGCCTGCTTGCCATATGTTCGAGTCAACCTTCAAGAATCAAGCATCAACGGCCCTTGAAGAAGTTTCCGGCCAAATTCAAGATCAAGCCTCGACAGCCCTTGAGGAAATCACAAGTCCGATTCAAGATCAAGCATCCACCATATTTGAATCAAATCCAGTTCAAGAATAAGTTGTGGAAAATCAACAATTGGAGGAATAAAAAAAAAATCCTCCAACCCAGTTCAAGATCAAAGCTGTGGAAAGTCAACAAAGCGCAAAAACAAATACGTGCCGATTCATCCACTACCAAAGCCAAAGATCATCTACCACATAAAGCTCCTTGTGGTCTAATTTCAACCTTCAAGATCAAGCATCGACGGCCCTTGAAGAAATTTCAAACAAAGTCCAAGAACAAGCCTCAACGGCCCTTGAAGAAATCTCCAGTCCAATTCAAGATCAAGCCTCGATGGCCCTTGGATTGACAACTACATTAAGGGACTTCAAAACGCATCTCCTACATGTAACAAGCCCATGTATACAACGCGCCTTGAAGTGGGGGCATTTGTAGACATTGCAATTTCGGTGGCATAAATGTTAGCCATTGCATTAAGATTACATTTGTAAACATTAAAATTTTGGTGAAATAAATGTTGACCATTGTATTAAAATTACAACCTTCATTCACTTCACCTACATCATACACTAAGTTCACCTACAACATCCACCAAGTTCACCTACAACATCCACCAAGTTTTACCTACAACATCCACCAAGTTTCACCTACAACATCCACCAAGTTTCACCTACAACATCCACCAAAACAAATGGATGGTGGTGATTCGTTCCCAAAGCCTATAAATAGGCTCCTCCATCAAAGAATAGGAAAAGGAATTCACAATATACATTTCTCTACTCCCAAATTGGAAGAGAATCCCCCAAATCTTTGAAGTTTTGAAATTCTCAAGCATCCAAATTCCCGAAGAATCAAGAAAGCTCTCTTCGTTCTTCGTTCATCGTTCTTCCAATATCAAGCCCCAACGGCCCTTTGGATCAACAATCATCTACCAATTCAAGATCAAGCCCCGACGGCCCTTGAAGAAAGTGTTCTTCGTTCTTCGTTCATCGTTCTTCCAAGATCAAGCCCAAACGGCCCTTTGGATCAACAATCATCCACCAATTCAAGATCAAGCCCCGACGGCCCTCGAAGAAAGTGTTCTTCGTTCTTCGTTCTTCGTTCTTTCAAGATCAAGCCCCGACGACCCTTGAAGAAAGCACCATCGTTCATCATCCGTTCATCCAAAGATCAAGCCCCAACGGCCCTTTGGATCAACAACGTCGACAAATCCACACATCCAACCGTTCTTCAAGATTAAGCCCAAAAGCCCTTGAAGATCCGTTCATCACTGTTCTTCAAAGATCAAGCCCAAAAGCCCTTGAAGATCCGTTCATCACCGTTATTCAAGATCAAGCCTTAACGGCCCCTTGAAGAAACATTCATCCTTAAGATCAAGCCCCAACGGCTCCTTGAAGATCCGCTCAAATCCACCTTCAAAGATCAAGCCCACGGCCCCTTGAAGAAACTTCCAACAGTTCATCCAAGATCAAGCCTCAACGGCCCTTGGATCAACGAAACATCCACAAATCAACGCCTTACGGAGATCGAATCAGAGGATCAAATAGAGAGAGATTGTAACCCAAAATCATCAAAACTCAAAATATTTGTTTGTGCACGTTGTTCTTGTCTCTTTCGTTTCAGGAATTTTCGGTGTTCACAGTGCTGTTTTTGTTTTATTTTCGAATATTTGAACTCATTCGGCACTTAGTATTACGGTCTAATGGTATTACTCCTCACTTGTAAGTGAGAGGTTAAGTACGATTCTCGTCAAAAGCGAATTTGAACCACATTATTACTAGTTCATTGTAAAGTTTAACCAATTCCTCCACTCATGTAATATGTAGATAATATCGTTTATTCAAAAAAGAAAAAAAAAATGAAATCGTTCATTTTATTCTCATTTGACCTTTGAGAAAATTGACCATTTCGGTCCAGTCTACGGTTGTGTTATATACCAAAGTTGCTTCGATTTTTCAAATATAGACATTTTCTCTATGTATTTTCTCTATGTACAATTATTGTCATGGTGCTTTTGTGTGTTTATTGTATTACTATTCCTCGAAATACCGAATAGAATTTTTAACAATTACAAATAAACATGTTAATAATAGACAAAAATAAAGGGAGAAAATCGATCTTTTTTCAATTGACATAGCGAAAGTAAGCTAAAAATAATTTAGAAAATTATGAAGCTGATACGTGTATTTTTATTCACAATTTATGAGAATGTCCTTGTTAAGTTGATGAGACCCACATCCGTTCGAAGCATAATTCAACCACCAAGAAGACTTAAGTTGCTTACTACAATTTTTCCAAGCTCGGTTGTCCATGATAAAAAGATAAGGCAAGAGAACTAACGGTAGAATTAATAACTAATTTCTACTTTTAAGCTTTCCTCATTGAAGACATACTGCTTTATTTGAGGAAGCAAAATCACATCAACCGAGGATTAGCTTTTCTTGCACAAATGCTTCCCATCCATGCTTGATTTACTCTCTGGTCTCAGTGGAAAGGGATGGTGGCCCTCGACAACGTTGGGGAATTGTCGAAGGCTCTTGGGCTAGGTTCACCGGAATGAATGGAAGAGGTGTAGAGATAAAAATAAAGAAAACGTTTTTGCTTTCCTTGGGTTTTAGTTTAATGCTAATTTTTCTTTGCTACTAATTGAGGGCAAATTTGGGAGTTTGGTGAAAAAAAATTATAAGTTGGCAGAACTGACGATGAAAAACAATAGAATTATCCCTAAGTTTGTTTAGCATAATTTATTTTGGTCTTTCCATGAAAAATTTGTTAATAACTTCATTAAATTGTTACTTGAACGACCAAGTAACCACCTTTTTAAGGGTATTTTTATCAAACCAACCTCCTCTATTTGACGAGGATATTGATAGATTTTTCATTGAGGGACCAATTGATTCACAGTGGACAAACTCATGGACAACTGTTATCGGTTTTCATGGTCAGGGATCAAAGTTAGGAGTTATGGCAATCTCAAATACTACCTTAAGCTAAAATGCTTTTCCCAAATTAAAAGTATTTGAAATTGGACTAAGGCTATTCAAATAGATTCACACCATGTCACCTTTTGCATGTGGTCCAATATCCTAGTAGATAAGGTATTGAGTTTCTACCCATGTGTCCTCCGAGTTCAAAAGGCAATTGAATAAAGCAAAAATGGAACCAAACTACAAAGATGAAAATGCAAGAAAAAAAGGTGAAAATTTGAATGAACTTGTGCATTTGACCTTTTAATAATCACCTCCTATGAGAAATTAAGGCTAAAATATGTATGCTTTTGTTATTTTTTAACTTATTACATATGGGGTTTAATCCCTTATTTGACCTGCACTAGGTAATCCGAAGTACCAAGATACTTGTGTCACACTCGTGAGGTACCAAACCAAAATTTTCTTTGGTTGGTGCCGGTGGATTTAATTTCATTCATCACCATCGCTTGGCCCATCCGTCGTACTCCTGATTAGTGAATTGTATTTGGCTGGTGGTGGAATTTGATGTCTTTTTCCACCGTTGCTTGGCCCTTCCTCACTAATTCCAATTAATGAATTGTATTTGGTTGGTAGTGGAATTTGACGTCCTTTGCCACCATTACTTGGCCCTTCCTCACTAATTCCGATTAGTGATGTGTATTTGGCTGGTGGTGGAATTTGATGTCCGCCACCATCATTGCTTGGCCCTTCCTCACTAATTTCGATTAATGAATTGGCTGGTGGTGGAATGTAATATCCTTTGCCACCATTGCTTGGCCCTTTCTCACTAACTTCGATTGGTGATGTGTATTTGGCTGGCGGTGGAATTTGATGTCCGCCACCATTGCTTGGCCCTTCCTCACTAATTCCGATTAATGAATTGTATTTGGCTGGTGGTGGAATTTGATGTCCATTCCCACCATTGCTTGGCCCTTCCTCACTAATTCTGATTAGTGATGTGTATTTGGCTGGTGGTGGAATTTGATGTCCGCCACCATTGATTGGCCTTTCATCACTTATTCCGATTATTGAATTGTATTTGGTTGGTGGTGGAATTTGATGTCCTTTGCCACCATTGCTTGGCCCTTCCTCCCTAATTTCGATTAATGAAGTGTACGTGGCTAGTGGTGGAATTTGATGTCCTTCGCCACCATTGCTTTGCCCTTTCGACATAATCCTGATTAGTGAAGCGTATTTGGCTGATGATGGAATTTGATGTCCTTTGCCACCATTGCTTGGCCCTTGCTCACTAATTTCGATTAATGAATTGTATTTGGCTGGTGGTGGAATTCGATGTCCTTTGCCACCATTGCTTGGCCCTTCCTTGGTCAGTAATTCCGATTAGTGAAGTGTATTTGGCTAGTGGTGGAGTTTCATTTCCTTCACCACCTTTGCTTGGCCCTTCCTTCGTAATCCCAACTAGTGGCATTTTTAGACCACCATCGATTGGTCCCGAATCCTTAATCCCTTGTGACAATTGGTCGAATGAGCGTTCTTTCCCCTCATGATTAGTTCCAACCAATTCAAATGGACCTAATGGTCGGGCATTGATTTCAAGAAACATAAAACTCAATAGTAAAAGAAGAATTGGAGCACCAAAACTTTGGAGTGTTGGAACTCTAGCCATTTTACAAGTGATAATGGTAGAGCTAACTAAGCTATTGCTTGATGAGAATGCTGGTTGGGATATGCTTATACCATTGTATCAAGAGTCTTTTTATAGTGACCTATGGAAAGCTTAAACAATGAACTTTGTTTAAATTACTTGAATCCTCTCCTTCCACCCTTCCAACTTTGCATTTCTTTCTTCACTTTCATAGAACTAAATCCGGTTGTGACTTACAAATAAGTATATAAATTTCTCTAATACATATAAGTATTGTAGTCAAATCCATATATTCCTCTAATACAACCAAAACATCTCAAACCTCTTGTATCCCTTTCCACAAGAAGGAAATGAAAAAGTGGCAGACAATTGTGCCATGTTTAAAGTTCATAAAATTTTGACTTTCAATATAAAAAATGAAGTACATAAAAAAACCATTGTAAATCATGGAGTTTGTTGTTCAATAAGAGGGGATGTGGATTGGATTTGGAGGCTCAAATCAAATGCATCATCATTTTTTAGTTTAGTTTAATTGGGTAGATTTGGATTTGAATGAAATCCAATTAGAAAGTAAGGAGTGTTATAGGCTTATTTTATTGAAGAATTATAACGAAAAGGAGGCCGGTGACAGGAGAGAAAGGAGAGAATTAGTGAATTATTTGGTGTATATTATCTCACTCCACTGTGTCTTTATATAATGTAGTAAGGAAGAGAAAATAATTGTCTTTCAAGTAATACATTACAACTGCCAGTTAGTACTATGGTCTAGTGCTATTCCTCTTCACTTGTAAGTGAGAGGTCTTAGGTTTGATTTTCGCCAAAGGAGAATTTAAACCACATTATTGCTAGCTCATTGTGAGGCATAGCCCACTTCCCCACCCTTTAGTGTAGATAATATCATTAAAAAAAAAGTAATACATTACAACTAGGAAACTATTTAAAAAATATTATAGAATCCTATAAGGATTTAGACAATCACATTCCAAACTATTTTAGGACTACAAAAATGAGCTAATATTCAAGGATTGCTAAAATTTAAGGATTTTTATGTTTTTAGAAATAGGGTCGTTGGTTGTTGAATGGATCATGTTTTATGGCTTATTTACTAATTCATAATCAGAATGAGAGAAATTAAATTAAGGAGTTGTAATAGGGTGGGATCAGAATCAGATTCATGCTGAAACAGTTTACTAAAATTTCAAGAATCGGTTAATTCATATGAATCAGAATGAAAATCAGTGTGATCACTAAAATGCCTCTATTCTAGTAATCTATTTTATATGCTAATTATTTTAACCTTGTGAGGAAAACTTTAATTCTTTTTATTTTTCATTTTTTGGCTGAGAGAACATAATTGGTGTTGGATTAATGCGAAGGTAAATCTTGTAATTTAATAAATAAGTGAGGGCATAATGAGAGGAAAAATCCATTATGAATCCCCCAATAACTTAGAAATCAATTTCCCCCAAATTTTAGAGAATCTAAATCCTCCAAATTTTGGAGTTGTATTCCGAAATTTGGGATTTTAGAAACCCTACCCCTATATAACATATGGGAAGAAATTTATAAACAAAGAAGGTCTAGCAAGGCTTGTCCCTCATCAATGTGGGACAAATTGTTCCTCACATTTCAACTCTCAACACGCTCCCACACGTGTGACCAATTTTCAAGCCTACACGTGGACATCAAGTGGGTGATGCGTGAGCACGTGTAGCCCATGGACTTTCACACGAGGGACAACATGTTCTGATACCATGATAAAATTGGAGTTTCACCGAAAAATCAATTGGCAATATGGGAAGTAACCCAAGACCATATAAGCCACTAGTAAGGCTTGTCCCTCACATGTCAACTCTCAACATTATAAACTCCCCAAGTTTCCATTACCTTGGTTCAAGGTTCTAAAAAACGCTAGACGCTAGTCGGACGGCGGGCTAGCGCCTAGCGCCTAGGCGGCTAGGCGGGGTCTAGGTGGACACCTAGGCGGCCTAGGCGGATTTAGGTAAATTTCTTGTATATCTTGTAAATAAATGCAGATTGACACCTACAAAAAATTATATTTGTATCAAATTCATAGATAAGATAATAAAAGAATGATAAATGCAAAAAGAGTATCCAACAAGTCTAAAATTTAAAACACATTAAGCATATATGCCATATAACAATAATGAGGAGTATTATAGGATGACACATGTACAACAAGTTCACAATTCAAACCACATATAAATTAATCAAATTTACGACATACTATATATAAATAAACATTGATACTATGTTATTTAAAAAAAAAAGAATATATATAGGTATACATGTTAAATATGAGGATACATGTAAAGTTCAAAAATTATATTATTTTGTAAGCCCATATTATTGGGCCTCTCAATGAAACAAAACGTTGGCCTTTCATTTTTTTTTTATTTAATCCTTCACAGACTGTTTAAAGGAAGCAAAAAGTTGCAAATTGCTTAAAAGTTAAAACCCTAACTTGCAGCTCTTTGCAATTAGATTCATCTTCTACAACTTGCCACCGCACCCATCTCTACAAACCTTCTACAACCCGTCGCCATCACCCATCCCTGCAAATGCACAAATCTCATCTACATCTCTCTCTCTCTCTCTCTCTCTCTCTCTCTCTCTCTCTCTCTCTCTCTCTCTCACACACACACACACACACACACACCATATTCGACTTCTCTTCTCTCAGACGGCGAGACTCGGAAGGCTGTGAGTCTCGCGACATAAATTTCTTTTCTAGGCCACCCAGCATCCGTCGAGCCCGCCTAGCCCGCCCAGGCGACCGCCTTACACCGCTTAATGTCCTTGCCGATTTTGTGAACGATTTTGAGTTAATCGCGGCGGAGCACCGCCGCCTAGCGCCTAGGCGCCGCCTAGACCGCGTTTTAGAACATTGCCTTGGTTCCTTCGTTATTAACTAAAGGGACCAGTATGGCCCCTGGCCTACTGCCTTTTTTTTCTTTTCTTGCTACTATAACAGGTGATGTTGTTGCATGTCAGTCTAGTATCCTTAAAATTAAAGTGTGTTCTCAATTCGAATTTTTTTCCGTTCCAGGCAGGCCACATTTTTCTCTCTATCCCTCTTATTGCGGCATAGTAGTATTCACTTCCCCTCCTTATTCTTGTTTTCTTTGGCTATAACTTTTTTTTTTTTGAAAATTAAAGTGTGTTCTCAATTCGAATTTTTTTCCGTTCCAGGCAGGCCACATTTTTCTCTCTATCCCTCTTATTGCGGCATAGTAGTATTCACTTCCCCTCCTTATTCTTGTTTTCTTTGGCTATAACTTTTTTTTTTTTGAACAAACGACATCTATACTAAGAGGTTGGGGGAGTGGGCTAAGCCTCACAATAGGCTAGCAATAATGTGATTCAAATTTGTCTTTGGCAAGAATCGAACCTAAGACCTCTCACTTACAAGTGAAGAGTAATACCACTAGACTGTAGTACTAAGTAGCAACTTTTTATATACATTTCTTGCTTATTCTTTACCTCATATTCTGGTCTTTGGGTTTGTGCAATGTTTAGTTCTCTCTATTGAATTTATGGTCTTTCAATTTTTATGCAAATTACTTCAATCTCTCATGTTCTAAGTTTCAAACTACCAATGTATGTTAGAGGCCCTCCCATGCATGAAATCCTAGCTCTACCACTGATGTTAGTCTTCAATAGGCACTTTTAATACAATATAATACGAGATTATAATTTTTATTAACAAACTTCTTTTTACCTTTCACACACACACATCTGTCAATTTCTGGCTATCGAATCAAATTAATTGAAGAGGATCAAATAACATAAATTAAGAGGAAGTGGGTGGGAGGTAAAAAGAGATGCAAGGATAGCAACACCCTTAACAAATCATTAGTGATAGCTTTGGTGGATATTGAGATTATGAAATTTTAGCCAATGAAACAAACTGATCAAAACCAAAAGTGGCTGATGAAAATTTGACTACATAACAGATGAAAAGGGAATTTTTGATCAAGGAATTTCATACATGCAGATGCAGGCCTTTATACTAATTCTACTAGAGCCTGCTTTCTGAAATTCTATTGCTAGATCCCGATGTCCCAAATCATAAGGGAAGAGATGTAATTTTAAGCTGCGAGGCAGTTCTACGACATTACTGTTGGAAAATATTAGTATTTAGGTTTACTTTAATGTTTTGTTTTCTGGGTTTAGCCCGTTAGCATTAGGGTTTAGGGTTAGTTTATTATAAATAGAGTGCTTTGTTATTCATTAGATATCAAGCTATTCACAATGTAGTCTCTTAGGGTTTTGTAGCCGTTCCGGCATTATCAGTTAGTTTAATAATATTCCTATTATTTTGTTAGTCTCGTTTGTTGCGTATTCTGATATTCAACATGGTATCAGAGCAGGTTTGATCTTTCGGGATTTAATCTGTTCTTGATAGGTATCCATGTCGTTTGTTTGATAATAGTTTTCAGTGTTCGTTTTGAAAAGAAAAAAATTTGATTATGTTTTGCTCGGACGACGACTCACCAGAATCTGCCCCACTTCCGCTGCATCGTCACCCAGCCATCAGCCTTCG